TGTGTGTGTGTGTGTGTGTGTGTGTGTGTGTGTGTGTGTGTGTGTGTTTAACATGCTTCCCTCTGTTTCTTTCTCTATGCAGGGCAATAAATGTCAGCTTTGCTCAAAATGCCTTGGGCACATCTAACAAACACTTTGCCATTATTTTCCAAGAGCAGATTTTTGGCTGATGGTCATTGAATGAACCACTGAATAAGGCAGACGTAGTGGATAGAGTGCTGGGCTTGGACGCAGTAAGACTGGAGATCAAATCTTGCTTCAGACACTTACTAGCTGAGTGACCCTGAGCAAAATTACTCAACCTCTCAACCTTAGTTTCCTCATTTGTAAAATGAGAGCTAGCTCATAGCTATTTAAGGTTTGCAAAATGCTTAACATATGTTAGCTCATTCTCTCCCTGAAAGAACTATGGAGGGTAGGTGCTATAGTTAGTCCTCATTTTACAGATGACAAAACTAAGGCTGAGTGACTTGCCCAGAGTCACGAGGCTAATAAGTATCTAAGGCAGTATTTGAATTTAGGTATTGTTGTTTTTGATCAGTCGTTTTCAGATCACAGTTTCAGACTCTGTGACCCCATTTGGGGTTTTCTTGGCAAAGATACTGGAGTGGTTTGCCATTTCCTTCTCCAGCTCACCTTACAAATGAAGAAACTGAGGCAAACAGGATTAAGTGACTTGCCCACAGTCACATATCAGGAAGAAGAGTCTTCTTGACTTTAGGCTCAGCACTTTATTCGAGTTGCCACTTATCTGCCCCACATAATTCAGGTATTCCTAACTCCAAATCCAGCAGTCCTAACCACTGTACCACTTAGCTGTAAAGTAAAAAGCTTGGACTCCACAGACTCAAAATCTACTATGAATCTTTCAAATCTAATCTACAGAATCACAATACTTGATTTAGCCAATGAATCCTTTTATTGGAAGTCAGTTTCCAAAAGTAGCAGTTCATCTTCATACTAACCCTTCAGGTTTATGCTCTGAAGTGAAGCTGTGACACTACCTGCTCCAAAAGCATGGTTTTCTATTAAAATACTTGTATGCGGTCTTAAGCAAACAAATTGCAAAAAAAATTCACCTTTCACCATGGTGCATTTTAGGAATTTCAGGAAAACAACTTTTAATCAGTTCAAGGAAGAAAAAATTGAGAGGTAATCCTCAGACTGCCATTGAAAGGATGCAGTTTGAAGCACTAGGCTAGGAATCAGAAGAGCAGGGTTCAAAACTTGGCTCTAACACTTATTAGTGACATGACCTTGGGCAAGCCATTTAGCTTCTGTGGATTCTCATCTATAAAATGAAGGGGTTGGAATACATGAATCTAAGGATCCTTCCAGCTCCAGCATCTTATATGTCTATTAGCAGCCCCTCCCCCCAAAACAGTGATAGGTACAAAGTTTTCATCACTTGAGAAAATCATGTGGCCATGAGATTGGAGTTTGCTAAGATTGCTGGTTTGAGGGGTTAACAGTGTGATGGGCTTATTACAAGAAGAGGCTCCAACCCTACACTCTCTGGGGGTCTAAGGGCTAAGCATTTCAACACCCCCAACAGTCAGGTGTCTGATGTCCAGAAAAAAAGAACAAATAAGCTGCCATATCTGCCATTAGTGAAAAGGAAGCAATGATCACCATTAGCCAGCATAGAGTCATAGAAAACAAATCCTACCAGCCTAATCCCATTTCCTTTTTGGGACAGGGTTACTGTATTAGTGGTGGTTCTCAAAGTGTGGTCCAGGGACTCCCCTATATCGAGGCCCTTTCATGGGGTCCTCACAGTCAAAACTATTTTCATAATACTACTTTTTAATTTATATAATTTTCATTAATTATATAATTTTTATAATAATACATTAAAATTTTTAATAATGTAGATATTGTAGACATTTAATAATGTAGATAAAAACAAAAGCTCTTGGTGGGAAGGTCCTCAGTAATTTTTAAGAGTGTAAACGGGTCCTGAGACCAAAAAGTTTAAGAACCATTATATTAGGGGAATGTCAGATATATTATAGTCTGATTTTTAGCAAGGCATTTGACAAAAAAATCTCATATCATCATGGACAAGGAAGAAATATATAGGCTGTGATCAGAGCTGGTTCAATGAATGGACCCCCAAAATGGTGATTAGTATCAACCCGGAGGGATGTCTCTAGTGGAATGCCATAGTGCTCTGTCTTTAGCCATGTGTTATTCAATGCTTTAGATGTCATCTAACATCAAATTTTCACAAATGACACAAAGCCTGGAGGGCCAACTAATACTTTGAACAACAGAATTAGAATCCAAAAATATCTCAAATGATGAACTAGATCAAATGATACGAGATTTCATAAAACTTTATATTGAGATTGTGGGTTTAAAAGAACAAAACAAAACAAAATAGATTCACAAGTGTAGGATAGGGGTGGATGGGAATAGAGATGAAGTCAGGCAACAGTTGATGTCAGATTTTAGTGGAGAACAAACTGAATGAGTCAAAAGTCTTGTGGAAGCAAAATAATTAATTTTTTTCCCTTTTTACTAATTTGATCTTAGGCTTCCATAATAGACGCATTCTCGAAAACAAAAGAGGTTATAGCTTCATTTGTCTGTGCCTTAGTCAGACAACATCTGGCATACTGTGTTCAGTTCCTGATGTCACATGTTAGGGGGCCTATAAACATGGTGGAGTGTGTTTGGAGGACAGTGATCAGGACATTGAGGAGACCTATAGATACCATGCCATACATAGGATGAGGATGGGTTGAAGAGACTGGAAATATTTAACCTAGAAAGGAGATGGCGTGGAGGGTCAACATAGACACCTTCAATCATTTGACAAACTATCACAGAGAATAGAAATCAGATTTGTTTTGCTCAGCCTTGGGGGACAGAACTAGGAATATTAGGCAGGAGCTGTATAGAGAGGCAGGTTTCGGTTCTCTGTAAGGAAAAATTTCCCAATGTGAGATGGACTCAACAGATGAGTTCCATGTCACTGGAGGTCTTCAAGTAGAATCTAGGAGATCACTTGTCAGAGATGCTGAGGAAAATTCCTGGATCAAATGGCCTCTGAAGGTCCTTCCAACTCTGAAATTCTGTGAATTGCATGGGGAAGACTCTAGAGCAGGGGTTCTGAACCTTGTCTGTGTCCTGGATCCCTTTGGCAGTCTGGAAAAGCCTATAGACCCCTTCTGAGAACAATGTTTGTACATGCATAACATAAAATACATGGGATTACAAAGGAAACCAAAGATTAGTGAAAATTAAGATTAATTTTCCCCATCTAAGTTCATTGACCTTGTGAAATCTATCTATTGACCCTTTTGGAACCTCTTTTCCAGTTAGTGAAACATGATTAGGTTGATGTGCTTAAAATTCATAAGAAATAATGTAAAATGTGAAACTAACATTTTTCTTTGTTATTTTGCAGGTGCTGTGGGGCTTTACAGATCAGTCATTTCAAAGGAAATTATAAAGGCCAGTCAGTGTGTCTATTCTGCTGGTGTCAGACAATTCTTTACTATGACTCAGGGAGGCCTGTTTAGTAAAAAACATATTAAGCTACAGATTCTATGATATCTGGCTGTGAAAATAGCCTGTGGAGAGAAAACGGGGCTGGGGATAATGAAAAATGACCAAATTGACTAGACTTTAATGAACTGCTCTAAACAAAACAACTCTGTGCTCTAAACAACTGTTACTTAGTCTCCTGTCTTTAAGCTACTGTTCAGATGAAGGAAGAAAACTTCAAAGTGAAGGGCCCTGGGTATTATTGATAGAGTACTCAATCCATAATCCACAACCCTAAAAGCATCCTGGACACCATGTCTCTGGGCATTTTCACTGAATGTGCTCCATGCCTGGAATGCTCTTGCCTCCTGGCTTCCCTGGGTTCTTTTTTTTTTTTTTCTTTTTGGTGAGGCAATGGGGTTATGTGACTTGCCCAGGGTCACACAGCTACTGAGTGTTATGTGTCTGAAGCCGGCTTTTGAACTCAGATCCTCCTGACTCCAGGGCCGGTACTCTATCCACTGCGCCACCTAGCTGCCCCCCTGGGTTCTTTTAAATCAAAGCTAAAATCCCATCTCCTACAGGAAGCCTTTCCCAATTACCCTTAATTCTGGTGTCTTTTCTCTGAGAGGATTTCCAGTTTACTTTGTCTATAGCTTGTTTGTACATAGTTTTTTGCATGCGGCATGAGTTCCTTGAGAACAGGAATTGTCTTTTGTTTTTTTTTGGATCTCTAGTACACGGTGCCTGGTAGACAGTATGCACTTAATAAATGCTTGTAACTTGATGTGACTTTATTTGAAAGGGCACTATCTGGATAATGTCACTGTGTAAATGGATTAAATACTTTTCAGGTAAAGGACAGATTTAAATTGCCAGGATGTAAAACTATCACACATACTACTTTCAGACAAAAGGGAAAGCTTTCTATACCATTAGCATTGG